AACAAGCTTTTACATCCCACAAGCAATGAAGCAAATGTTTTAGCTTAAATACGCTGATTCCAAGTAGGGCAGTTTGTCCATTTTTAAATGGGAGCGCAACTATGCTATTACAAACTAATAGCATGGCTTTTCGGGAGATTAGTGATTAAATGACCCCTTACCCTCGGCAGGTTTGCGGAATTCCCTCGGGCTTCGCCCTCGGGAATTCCGCAAACCTGCCTCGGGTTACGGGGCCATTTAATCACTAATCTCCCTCAAGCCATGCTATTACTTATAAAAAGCCTCGTCAATTTTTTGTCATTTCCGGTCTAGTTTACGTAAAGTTGCGTCGGTGGGGGATTGGCGTGGTTGTCTCTCCTCCCACCGAATTCTCCGCTAATAGGCCCAGGTCAGCCACGAAAAACAACATCTTAAAAATCACGTAGCTCTATAACTTTTAACTACATGCATATATGATTTTGTTTGTAGTGTTTAGTTACACCTCGTTCGTCATCAAATTTTGTTTGAAGAAACATAGTCATTGGGTTAAAGGATGTCAGTGCTATATTCTGGACTGGTGCTATTTATTCTTACTTCCATCGTTTCATCTCAGTTTCCTAGTAAGTTGATTAGAAAATGTCGTCAGGTTTAGACCAAGGTTAGGGTTAGATTAGGGTCAGATCAAAGTTAGATTTAGGGCCATTCCATTTAATGTACACACCCCCCTATGGACGAGGTCAATAAAATTTGAACCCCTAAGAAAAAAAGATCAAAGTGCCAACACAGACACCCCCTCCCCCCAGAAATTAAGAAATTTTTGCCTTACCCCTCAGAAAAAACGCAAAGATCAAAGGATGCCGATGCACACAACCCCTCAGAAACGGCTTTTTCAACCCCCCTCAGAAATTCTCGTCCACAGGGGGGTGTGTATATTAAATGGAATGGCCCTTAAGGCACTATTGGATGGTTCAGATGATCATCATTATGGGGTATTGCCCGTATTTCTCAATTGAGACGGGTGCAAAATAAAGGTTTTAAGACACTGTCTGCACCGGAGAGACGTAAATTTCTTACTGCTCTATGTTATACCAATCTGGCACATACTATTATTTTATAACTTTTGAAACTTTATGCTGTATCTGTGCACAACAACGTAACTCGAACCGACAATCCGGGCCAAAACGATGTGGACAACTCACATGCATGCAGACATTGGCATGCATCGAATGGCATTTTTATGCATAATAAATATATCTCAAACTCATTAATAATTCATGAGTAAATTAGCGAATGAACTCACCCTAATTCGTCACATGATTGAGGTTGGATACCGCAAGGAAACACGCTAAAAATCATATACCATCACTGTTGTTAGATGAAAAACGGTTGTCATCTAATAACTGAGATCCTAATTACAAATTCAAGTCAAAACACAACAATATACTATAATAATATATATAAGCCAATGAAATGTTTTCGTTTGAGATGTTGTGTAAACAACTCGTTTCTCGTGTTTCATCAGGGGACCAAACACTCGAAAACAATAAAACACTCGCGCTTCGCGCTCGTGTTTCATGCAGTTTTCTCGTGTTTGGATCCCCTGATGAAACACTCAAACTCGTTGTTTACATATAACATCCCCCGCTCCTCCAGGCCAAGTCAATGTTGAATAGAAGTTTTCATCAAATAGAAGTGTAGATAATGCGGATATACGTGCATAGGGGCCGCGGAACCGGGGGGGGGGCAATGGGGGCATGCGCCCCCCCCCCCTTTTTTAAAAAGTGAAGAAAGTGCCCTTTTCTCTGGGCTTAAATGCCCCATTTAAAGAACGAAAAAAGTATTTCTTTCCTCTTTTTCTGGAAAGAAAATGCCCTTTTCGAAGTAGTAAAGACTCTGTAAAGGCCATTTCCGACGTTATAGAGACTCTATATTTTCAAAAATTTTCGTTCGGCTCGTGAACGTCATAAAATCGTTTGATTTTGGTCATATACAAAAGTGCCCATTTTGGTCAATGCCCCTCCACTTTCGAAATGCTTCCGCTGCCTCTGTACGTGCAAAGCCTTTTGAGGGTTTTATGAGAAATTTTGCTAAAGTGGCCATGCCATGGATTAAGGTTACTTCACATGATGAACGTGCGTTTTAGCGCGCTTTCCATTAACATGGCCAGACCGATCAGAACGGTCAAATTGTTGAATGGAACACAAAACGTTTGGGCTTCGGACCTATCTGACTCGAGAATTTAGATAAAATTAGAATGAGGTCCATTTTCTCTAGATATTTGAGAAACATAGACCAGATCTTTCCAGTGATACAGAGACAAAAATTCAGGTCTGACCGGTCAGACCATTATAAAACGGAAAGCGCCCTTAGTCTATTGATCATGGGCGCAACGAATTTTAGGTGTAACTTTACCAAATTTTTAGTGAAGAAAGCCAAGAAAATGGTGATTTCGAAAATCTTCATTTGATGGGTGTTCTGTTTAAACATGTCCAGTATTGGCTGACAAAAGAAATATATAGGTGGCCCATAAAAAATCAAAATATGTTTATAGTTTACCTCAATGTTTGTCTACATATCTCGATTTGAATCTTCATAGGTACGGTCAGGGACGCCGGAATGATGTGAAGGCAAGGGGGGCAGATTTTCATGAAAGGGTACTTTTGAATTGATATATATACTAAGAGATTTTTGCAAAACATATATCGGGAGTTGAACTTCGCCTAATCATGTTTTCTATTTATTGGATGATTGGGGTGTGAGGGGGTTCTCCGCCAGGCGATTGTGCTATTCTTGAAGCTC